ATACGTTATCTTGGAAAGACGTCTTTCCAAGATAACGTATCTTGGAATTCCGTCTTTCCAACATAATTTATCTTGGAATTCCGTCTTTCCAAGATACGGTATCTTGGAATTCCGTCCTTCCAAGATACGTTATCTTTGAATTCCGTCTTTCTAAGATACTTATCTTGGAATTCCGTCTTTCCAAGATCACTTATCTTGGAATTCCGTCTTTCCAAGATACGTTATCTCGGAAATCCGTCTTTCCGAGATAAATTATCTCGGAAAGACGTCTTAATAAGTACTTATTCCATGTTTCCATGATAATTATCTTGGAAACTCGGAAACGCGGAAGGTCACTTTAAGCTTCCGTAGTTCACAGATTCTCTGAGATGTAAATATCAGAGCCGTAGCTGGTAAATATATCAGTATAGCGCCCTCTATAATTCCGGTAATGTCACTCAATATTAATGACCTACCGTTTCGGCCTACTAAATTATGTAAATATCGTATTATTATTGTTTTAAAGAATATTTTAAGTTCAAAAACCTGAAAATGTTTAACCAAAACATTCAACATACAGTATGTATTATTCAATTCAATAACTAATTATATTAGGGCCTAAATACCATGAATTGTAATTTTGTACAGTAATTTAAAAGTAAGCATCACATGAAATTCTAATGTTGTTTAACAAAAATGACAAACAAATCGAACTTGAACTTTAATTAAAAATTTATTAAAAATTAGTAAAATTATATTTCCCAATTAGGCTCCATAGTGGGTTTAACAACATAATAATTACGTCATTAAATCAAAAGATTTATTTTGAAATATTGTCCTGATATATAAAAAACAAGGCAAATAACAAGAATCAGAGATATAATATCACACGAGGAATAATAACAGTAAATCTGAAATAGTTTGTCAGTAATATGCTTGAAATAATATCAATCTCATGTAAAATAACTTAAAATTTCCAAAAAATACTCCTAGATCCTATTCATTAACGTCCGAACTCAATATAATAGGGGCCTAGGCCTACGTACAGAGATAATAAAATGGTATAAAATACATTGGATTTTGGATTAAACATGGCCTTCCGTATACTTATTTTAATTCTTAGTATACATGGAATATCATGGTACCAATACAAATATAAAACTCATAAAAAAATAATTTCGAAACAAATGTAAATTGATTTAACTTCCATGAATCGGAAAACGCGTGCAAAATTAATGTGTACTTGGTTTGATAAAATATTATGAAATAATTTGTATTTTCTAGAAAAATATGTTATTCCTTAAATTCATTTTAATTCTGAATGTAATTGAAATGTCATAGTGTCAATAAAATTAAGAAACTTCAAAAAATCTTTCCTGAAGAAAAATATAAATTGAATCATGTAACAAAAGTCAATCTAAATAATAGAAAGATGCATGCGACAAAAACCCGAAATATTTAACGGTTTGCTATTTATATTTCATTTTTTAACTTGATTAGTAATTCGATTGATTTTATTGAATGATTTTTAATGTTTGATGTGATTATGATGTGATTAAAGTGTGTTTGTAATGTATGTGTATTTTGTAGTAGTAAGTATGTTGTTATAATCGTGTAGTGTGCATTCATGTTTGTTTTCGTAGTTCGGCAGGACGCCGTTAATGTGCGCTGTGTTGCGGAGCGCACCAGACAACGTGTTGGAGATGATGATTGACGCAGCAACAAAGAAGACCATAGAACACGAGGACAACGTGGGTGAAATTAAATATCATTACATTTTATACAAACAATACAAAACATATATCATATATACAAATCATGCAACAAACAATTGAACATCAACTCAATGTAGATTACAGTGATTTATTTAATTTAAAACTATAAATTATGATTTTATTATTTGATTTATATGCATTTTTTAACTCTAAAAAGCTTATGTTATGAACATGATCACTATTTTCTCAATAAAAACTTTCAAAAAATATATTTTATAATGAGAAAAAAGTAATTATGTTTGGATTTGTTTTTTGTCAGTTTGGTTAACTAGATACATTAATGACAATAAAATTAATATTTTACACAAAAAGTTCAATCATTAAAAATGTGAATTTATATTAATGTAATCTAATAATAGTGTGAAACATAGGCATTTTGATTCAGAAATTGTTTGCCCGATTCTACGTTATAAACATCATCTAAAAAATATTAAATTATGTATTTAGTATCTAATAATGACTCAAAGTAGATTTAAAGTGATATATTTTATTTAAAACTAGAAATTAGGAGTTTACTATTTAATTTACCTGATTGTTTACAACACTAAAAGCCTATGTTATGGGCATGAACACTATTTACTAATAAAAAGTAATTATGTTTGGATTTGTTTTAATCAATATAGTTTACTAAATATATTAATGTCAATGAAATTGATATTTTACACGAAAAGTTCAATCACTAAAAATGCGAATTATAAAGAATACTTGAATATAGTGTAAAACATAGGTCTTTTGATTCAAACATTATTTGCGAGATTATACATTATAACCATCATTTAAAAAATATTAAATTATGTAATTAGTATCTAATAATAACGAGTGTAATAATTAATGTATGGATGATGTAACTGAGACGTTTGTTTTGTTGATATGTGGTGTCATAGTTTCTTGTTGTAGTTTGTTTTCCTGTGTTATAATTTTCTACTTTTCACTTGTAGTGGCGTCGAACTATTCTCCATTACTTGGCGAAGTACGCACATGTATCAGTATCAAGACGCGCGCTGCAAAAATCAAACATCGAAGTTAATAGGAGAGACTACGTAAGTACAGTGTAATAAAACAACACTTTTATTAATTGTAAACAAATTACCATCATTGAATTCACAACATATTTTGTCATCACATTCTATTTATTCAAATTGTTGTATATTTTATAACGCGCATGATTTATATAAAGCTGACTGAAAAATAGGAATGTTCCGTTCAGCTCTATCATCATCATAAAATATCATCGTTATTATTGAAATGAATATTCACAAACATTCTCATTATCATTGCTATTAATATGAATAGTATCATCATCATAATTTGTTTAATTAATATTCTATTTTATATTATCATTTTTATGTTTATAATGATTACAATGAGAAATAATTAAGTACGATAATTAATAATTATATCAGCTGTTTTACGTCGACGTAATATTTGTAAATTCATATTCTTGTGTTGTGTCTCTACTTGACAGCAAACTTGACATTGATTATCCTTTCATTGCAGAAGGGACGCACACCAATACATTTTTGTCTAGAAAATGAGTACTGCCTGTATGAAGATCACCGCGAAATGGCAATTTGCCTCATGGAACATGGCGCATTATTAATAAAAGACAACGTAATGTACATATATACAAATAAGAATGCATCATCAAACGGATACCAGTCAATGGCTTTAATACAACAACTGTATATCAGGAGGCACTACTACTAGAAACATTTCATGTGTTTAAAACAAACATGAGAAATATCAAATGTTAAAAATAGAAATAAAAATTATTTGGTACCAATAAATTTGGTGATAACAAATTATCGTAAAATTATCTTGATGCTAATGTGTTGCTGTATATTTTGAAATATTATTTTGCCATAATCTATGAATATTACTATTAAATTAAAATGTATTTATAAATTTTGATTTGGTTTCATTACATTAATTGGAATATTTATTAATTCTTTTCATCATATTCAATTTGAAACAGTCATCGAATGTAATACAACTTTTGTGCCGTGTCTGTTATTGCAGAAAGGAAAGACGCCTCTTAATTTGTATGATAAGAATAATTGTATTATCTACGGCGGTCGATCGATCAGACGAGAGAATAAGGAAGAACTGAAAAAGTTACTTTTAGGTAAATTGATGAACCCATTGTATATTGAGAATTTAATCATCTGCGGTATATAGTTTGTGCATGAACGCCTAATAATTATACTCAAGTTTTAAATTTTGATTTTGAAAAAGGCTACATATAGGGCTTACACATTGGCATTTTCCAATATTTTTAATCTATTATGACAATGCTATTTAGAGTGAATATTTAAAAGATTTATTTAATTTTGTTTTTAAAGTTATAAATAATGTAATATACCAGTACTTGAAACAAACATATTTTTATTTTAAGACATGACATTTCCTGCACAAATTAAAGCCAGAGGAAAAGATGCAGTTACTGCATTCGTCAATGAAATTGAGAAAGGTGAAATGACGTTGGTAAATAGCAGAGTGATGTTTCTAGGAAAGGAAGGGGCTGGTAAAACCAGCCTTGTAAATTCCATTCTTGGAAAACAGTAAGTGAAATTTCCTTATTTTATTTCTATTTAAATAGAAAGATAGCTTGGTGTTATATATATCTTAAGGTTAAAGAAAGGAAGCTGACTGATTGAAGCTATTTTAAATTACTCTATTTCAACAATTCTAACTAAATTATGTGCACTTTTAATAATCTTTATTTGTAAATCGTCTCTTCATTAATCATACGCAGCTAGTGTAGGACGCCAACTAACGCTTGTATGTGTTTATAAGATCTTTGGTCTTTTATTACCCAGTACTCCACCGCGCGCGATTTTTTTCCCGTACGAAACATTTACATGAAACTCCACTCGGGCCGTCTCGACTGAATCGACTCGGGCCGAAATTCTCATATTTCAGAATTCAGGAAGTCAAAAGGTCATCAACAGATAAACGTCTACAAAATGCAAAACAACTTCTGAGAGAACGTCGCTGTCTGATTTAAAAGAAATATGTTACCATGCTAATACTAATAAAATGACATATAATATTTGATTGAGCTGCACGAGTAATGGAAAGTGTTATTTGAACTTGAGTTCAATATAGCTGTGACAATTTTATTTATTTTTTTTTTAGTTAGATCTGGGTTTTGCATATTTACCTAGGCCTACTAACTACTAAAAATATACGCTTTCAGGGGAAAGCACAAAGACGAAGGAATAGCGCGTTTCTTTATCAAATGAAACAGGGTGACAGCATTTTCAAATTAAGAGAAGAGCTGAGAATGGATGCCAAAGACCTGCCAAAATGGCAGAGCACCAATGAATGTATAAATGAGGCCTAAGCCTAGTTATATGGTAAATAGTATCTGCAGGTTCTTGATTACAAGGCTAGACCAAGTTAATGCCGAAATGATTATTATTATTATTATTATTATTATTATTATTATTATTATTATTATTATTATTATTATTATTATTATTATTCATTATTATTATTAATTATTATGTTATTAAAACCTACCTTAGGAACTTAGACAATGGAGAAATTAGAGAACATTTAAAAAAAACGACGTTTAAGGGGAAATAGCACAAAAGATATTCCCTTGGGCTAGTTATTAATTATAGGCCTAGTAAATACGTTATTGATTACAAGGCTTAGGCCAAGGTAATAATGCTGAAATGATTATTATTATTATTATTATTATTATTATTATTATTATTATTATTATTATTATTATTATTATTATTATTATTATTATTTAACATTAATTACATTACAAGGATAGTTTGGCCAAGTTCAATAACTCCGGTATGGTATATTTTATTTATTACGGTATTATTTGATAATATTTCTCTTATGAACTCTATTTTTTATTTCATGCTTCAATTTTTTCCCCTATTTTTCAAAATTTCAATCAACGTCATGTGAAGCGTGACTGTTGGTGTCAGCCTAGGTGTCAGGTGTCAGCCTGTATGTTCTTTTTATTATTATTTAACATTATTTTATTATTATCACTACTTTAATATTAGCATTATCATTATAACCATTATTTTTCTTTGTTCTTAAACCGTAGATTCAATGACAATGAACCATCAACAAATGGTATTGTAACAACAACGGTATTTCAAATTGTTGAAGGAGACTGCTGCAAGTGGGAGGAACATAAGGATGTAGACGGTATGAATAATAGAATTACCGTAATTATTTAAATAAACGCTCTATTTATTAAAGCTAGGCGTTTAATATTAATTTTGGTGCAAAATATACGTAGGCCCTACGTATATAAACTATAAATAGGTACCGGTATGTACTAATGAACGTTCTTAAGTTTCACAGTAAATATGCTAAATGTAATGCATGATCCCAACAAGGAGAAAACATGTAATTCGACTTGGAGTAGAACATTTATGGATGTGTTGAGAATGATGTTGCTTAAATTCGTTTTGTTTACAGAAATTCTAGTGAAGCGTTTATTC